TTCGACTTTTCTCTTTAAATTCTCAATATTGTAAATTAAATTTAGAAAACGAAAAAATCTTACTCGATTGAATATGTTAGATAAAGATTCGATGTTTCCAGCAATGAATTTTTTTTAGAATTTATAAGATTGCAATATTTTAACAACTCGATGGTCGTTTTCGTGACTGCAGTTTTTATCGAATGATCTGTTTCTGATTGTCTATGTAGTGTGAAAGTAATTAATTATGATTTAAAAAATAGTAGGTTTACGGTCTGCAATAACACGTTGTTCGCCACAGTGATAACAAAACACCCTCTAATTAGGGTGACCATTTATTTTCGTAGAGGTTTCGGTATAAAAATAAGGATCGGTTATATAAAACTTTCGACCTATGTGGTCGTTTAGTGCTGAAAATGAACGTTAATTTAAACTTGATGTTGCAACGAAAAATAATTATTAATAATCATGAAAGAAATTGTGCATTCACTTCAAATGACTTTTACTTGAAAAATGATGGTTTATATAGATTAACTTAGTATCAATGCTATTTACTTTTGTTCCATACATTGATACTCAATCGTTGATTGACGTTAGACATCTATAGTTGGATACAATTCCTGACTTATTAATGACCCAAAGATTCTAAATTGCTATTTTAACTAGTCTCAATTTCTCTTCTACCTACTCTTAATTTAAAGCCAATCTCATTCGAGACGTCAAACAGTTAATGCGCTGTAAAGGTCATTGCCTCGAGTGCTGCAAAGGTTCTAGTCGAAGATCACCATTTTAATCAAAAGTTATAAAACGTACATAATTTTCCGAAGGGAATTTGATAACTTCCGAACAGAATTTTAATTTGAATTCAATCGAGAACAAGTTTGAGTCAGCTTCGGTTAGGTTTTTTAAACCTCCGGTGAACCTTTACAACGCATTAAAAAATGATCAAAGTCGGTTGCTTTCTTTTTGCAAACATTTACCTTGTCCGCCCTACGAAGAGCAAAGAGTGTTACAAACTTTTCAGTAGCTGCGTAAACTTTCGAATTGAATGCAAACTCGACGAAGGCGCCCTTACACGATTCTCATCCCTTTGCGTGTTTAAAGTCCGTACGTGCATATAGAATACACAATTATGCAGAAATTTGATCGCGCGTACAAAGCGAATTCCGCAGCGTTTCGAGACAAAGAACATATAATTGAAGCTCGCGTTTCCTTTGGCTATCTTTCTTTGAGGGGTTGTTTGTAGAAGACTATCGCGAGTTCGACGAATAAACAGAGCGATCGGAATTTCAGACACGCGATAGAAATGCATCTCGCGCAAATGAAGGTTCGCAGAACGCAACTGGCGTGCAAGATCTCGAGAAAATGAACCCGCGGCCGACGGAACATGAATCACGAAAACGGCTGAAAGGCGGCTGTACGCAGTGCAACAAAAGACGGGAGAGGTGAAAGTGACGATGAAGAAGAAAGAGTGGCGTTCCTAATTGGAGAATGAGCGGATTTTTCAACTCCCTGAAAATCTTCGCGTCAGGAGCTGCCAGCTCTGCCTCGAAGTACGAAGAACTGGAAGGTGAACAGTTGTCTTGCGAAGTTCGCTGCATGCGGGACTGTCTTATCGTTACCGATCAATGTGGATGATCGTTTCGTTACGTTCCGTTTGCACGAAACAACGTTTGATTTACGATTTTTCGCACGAAAGCTGTTTTCGTTTAAATGCTTTATCTTTTTAAATGTTTGCTTTAAATAGAATGCAAATTGTTCTTTCATACGGATGATTCTTCGAAATCTGATTTCGTATACGTTTCTATTGTCTGCTTTATTCTCCGTTTTGTTCGATTATTTAGGAAATTTGCACGTTTATCTCTGATGCGGATTTCAGGATATTCGAAATGAAATGAGGAATTATTTTAATGATTTATTGGAAATATACTATTTTTATTTTGGAAGTAATAGGGAATATTGGAGTGATTTTTTAGTCGATTTAAACTGTTCAAAGGAAGTAATCTGACGTAGGTTGTGGGGAGTTTATCTGTTATTTGAATGTATAGCTTCAATTAGGAATATTTGGAGTTTACACATTTAATTGAAATGGGCTATGTTTGCGCAGGCACTGCAAACAAATCTGTGTATGACGCAGTTGACTATTATTTCACTGTTTCATTATTTTACTACTTTATTATTCTATTATACTACGCAGTTACTATTTCACTGTTTCACTACTTTACTACTTTAATATTCTATTATTCTATGCAGTTACTATTTCACTGTTTCACTAATTTATTGTTTCATTACTGTACGCAATTGCTATTTCACTGCTTCACTGTTTTACTATTTTACTGTTCCACTGTTTTAGTATTTTACTGCGTTACTGTTTTACCAATATACTATTTTAGTATTTTACTATTCTACTGTTTTACTGTTTTGCTACTTTACTATTTTACTATTGTACTGTTTTACTGTTTTACTATTTTAATAGTTTACTGCTGTACTATTTTACTATTGTACTCTATTACCATTGTACTGCTGTACTATTTTACTATTTTATTAATTCACTACTTTACTATTGTACTATTTTACTATTTTACCATTTTTTGATTCTACAACTCCATTATTTACAGTATACTTTCAGCTTCAAGAGCTCAAAATAAATTCACTTGAATCTCAAATAAAATACTCCGCACATCCACTACTATACTGAACACATCTGTTATGCTTATATTTTAAATGTGCTTTTGCACTCTTTACATTTTATACTACCACTTATTTTTGCAACGTATAAAAGTTCCTATCGAAAAATTTAAATAGTCACATTCAATCAATGCACCGTTGTACACGCATTTCGTACGTCTAGTTCACAATTGACCTAACCCCAACCGTTCAAGGGTTAATTAAATAAATTCAGGTCACTTCTATACTATATAACTTGACATATTCGTCGTGTGTTGCTATAAATATTCAAATGAGACCTTCGCATTTAAAGGTTATAAACCGATTTCTATGGGAACTCATCAAACGATCAACAATCGAATAAAACGATGATCAAGTTCCCTGAACAGTAGATCGTACTCATCGTCTCTGATTTTATTTCGAGTCGAATAAAACCTCCATTAAGACGATCTTGTTGGAGTGAAATTACGATCGCTTAAAGGAGATTCAGTTACGCGACGCACAGAGATTCAAGTTGCAGAATTCACGTAGCTATCCTCGAATAACAAAGGGATAATGGAAAGCAGTTCTAGTTTGTATCGTGTTTAAAGTACTCTTTGATAGATGGTCTCGTGTCTTTTGAGACGGAGAAAATGTATGACAAAATGAGTGCATTCTTAAAAGATGATAACGGAACGAAAGGTGTTCATTTATTCACATATGGTAAGTGCGACCTGCATATGTACGTCTTGTAAAAGCTGAACTTCCTCAACAAAAATAAAACTACCTAGTATTTTGTCAACAATTACTGTTGTCAGTTGAACTGTTCGTTGATAAATGTAACATGAAGTCTTTTATTGCAAAGGTCAATTATTGCTTGAAGAACTATGAACAATGTGTTCGGTCATAATGTGTACATATGCACTTATAATCAATTAATTTAATAAACAAAATTGACAGTGATTGAGTTGGTATTGTGTTGACTATCTAAAACTTACAAACACTTAAAATGACCACCATGAACATACTATTTAACAATTTTACAAAAAGTGTATATTTCACTCCAACATCCACATTACAATTAAAAACTCTCCGATTATAAAATATTACTAAAAAAATTTGTTTTGCGAAGCATATCGCTAATAATTTATTTCAAAATAAGCTCACTGACGGTTGTTTCCAGTATCGCAAATAGAAATTGGAACGTAATCACCTGCAAAATTCACGATAATTAAATAATCACACCGAAAGCAATTTGATCGTCTGGCGGTTAATTTACCGATGACCCTCGAGTTTCAAGACGATGCCCGTTTAGTAGAACTATTTTTGTACGAGTCATCGCGACGCGTTGCATCGAATAAAACGTCTGATTGTGAAACTTTGTAAATCGGGAGCTGACGTTCCCGATCGAATTAAGGACATTAACGCTTCTGTTTGTTGAACCCGACTCAACTACTTCAGCCATTTAACTAACGACTGTTTTCCCCAACGTTTACGATCGTTTCATGGTTGCGTTTGATGACTCGTGGAACTGCATTCTTTAACAAGTTTAATTGAACTCATTGACTACCAGTTGTTTATTTTTTAACTTTTAGCGACATTTTGAGATGGGCTCTTTATGTGGGGGCTGAAAGAAGATCGGAGTAAGATTAAAGATTAAAATCTTTTGGAAGACAGTGAAAGTTGCATTTGGAGAAAATTTTTCTTCTTGTCAAATTTATCATGTTAGAGTTATAGAAATGTAAATAAAATTTTAATGTTGATATAGTAGGTTGCTCTATAAGTTTTATTTGGGTCTTTTAAGAAATTTGAGGAAGTTGAGAAAATTCAGGAAAATTTTGAAATTTAGAGATTGAAGAAGTGCAAAATATGGGAACTGAAAATTTTGAAATTTAGAGATTGAAGTAGAAAGTCTGGGAACCGGAAAATTTTGAAATTTAAATATTGAAGAAGTAGAAAGTGTGGGAACTGAAAAATGTTGAAATTTATTGCTTAAGAATTGAGGAATGTGAACACGACAAGAATCTGGTAATTCGAGAATGTGGGATGTTTTGGAATTTGATAATCCCAGAATGTGGAACATTTGGGAACGTGGGCTGTTTGGGAATTTGGTAATATAGGAATCTGGGAAACTGGGAATGTATTTGAGAAACCTAGAAATTTAAAAATATACAAATTTTCCAATATAGCAATTTAAAAGTATACAAGTCTGGAAGTTTGGAAATCCGAAAATGTAGAATCTTGAAAATCCCCATAAATTAAATTCAATCGACACTCAGACAGTGATACAACAATCATAATATAAAATGACGAATAAAGTTTTCTAAAAAAAAATGCTCCTGTCGTATGTTTCCGAGCGTCTGTTAAATTTTCAGTCGAAGACACGAAGATGAGATTCAGTTTGACCCCGCAACCGGGAGAAAGCGGTTTCATACAATGGCTGGATGCAATGAAGATGGTAGCCAGGTTGCAGGGAGGAATTCCGCCGGAATTTCGGAAGAAGGCAAGTATCAGACAAGATTCTTACGTGCCGGTAGCTTGTTATTTTAAGAGACGAGAGTATCCTCATTTTTCTCTCTGTTCTTTTCTCTAAATATTTCACAGTTATGGCTGACGCTGGCAGAACGTCATCTGGAACAGCGCGGCGTAGATTGGAAGCAGGCTGAAAAGATCTGCTTCAACGAGTGGAGCAATCCTGACGATGAAGAGCTCGGTATACAAATCGTTAAAGTAAGACTCAAAAACGTACATAAATTTTTCACGATATTTGTACCGTTGGTATTTTTTTTGGGTGTATTCTATCTTGCTCGATTTTCTCCCTCGTAACGAACGTACCAAAGAAATCTGTTGAATGGTACTTGATAAAATTTGAAATTCAAACTCATCAAGCTCCTTTACCATCCGTCTTTGTGTACGTGTGTGTGTGCTTTATCGATTAAAAGCATTAGGGATGACCCTATTCAAGTACCAGGTAATGAAAAGTTTTCTGTTGGATCTTTTAATGAAACGTCGACCGATATAAGTTCCAGAACCATTCATACGGGTCTTACATTCTTTCGTTCTCATCCACTAAATGTTCTAAATGTTCTGCTAACAAAAATTGAACGGTGTCTGCGGAATTTTTATGCTTCGAGATTTGGACGTTTTAGGATTTGGGGATTTGGGAAATTGGGAATCGGGGATGTTAGATTTTGGGATTTAGGAAGTTGGAGATTTGGGGATTTGGGGATTTGGGGATTTGGGGATTTGGGGATTTGGGGATTTGGAGATTTGGGAATTTGGAGATTTGAAGATTTGGGAATTTAAAGATTTGGGAATTTGGAGATTTAGGGATTAGGAGATTGGGAGATTTAAATTTTGAAAGATTTAGAGATTTGAGGATTTGGTGTTTTGGACATTTTGAAGATTTAGAGTTTTGGGGATTTGGAGATTTGGAAATTCAGAGTCTTGGAGATTCGAAGATTCGCAGATTCAGGGATTTGGAGATTTATAAATTTAGAAACATTGTTTTCTGAGAATTTTATAATTTGAAATCTTAAAACGTTGAAATTTTTTAACTTCAGAATTCATGCATTCAAAGCTACACTATAGAAGTTTCAGAATATGTAAATTTATAAATTCAAATACATTACAAAACTCACACTTTACTTTACTGTACAATATTTCTTGAGACGATTTCCACAAAAAACAAAAAAGAAAAAAGGTACACAACGTTCATCTTGCGTAATGGCATTGCAGAAAACTCCATCCGGCAATTCTGTATCATGTCCTTAACTGTGTTCGTTGGCCATATAATCAGAGCCAATTAAATTTCGATCATTAATCACTCGAACGCCGGCCAATTAAGCATCGTCGATGAGCCTTTCAATTATTCGTTCGCGCGACGAACGAAACGAACGGCTCCGAAGCGCAGTTCGGCGAACCACGCATTTCTCGGCTTATCGACATCGTAATTCAACGGTGGTGCGAAACGGAATCCTATAGAGCACGGAACGGTTGTCGTTTCAGGACTTACACAGAACAGGCTGCAGTTTATTTTGTGGAGCGGCTGGCAGAGACAATCAGGCAGTGCTACGTCGAGTTTTGCTCGGCTTCGCACGATGGAACAAGTCCGTCGGCTATTGCCAGGGCCTGAACGTGTTGGCCGCTCTCGTTCTGCAAGTTATGGATCGGGCAGAGTCCGCCGCTGTGAAGGTGATGATCTACTTGATAGAGGGTGTGCTGCCCGAGGGTTATTTCGCGGACAATCTGCGGGGCCTGTCTGTCGACATGGCGGTGTTCCGAGATCTCCTGCGGGCAAGGCTGCCCAAGCTCTCGAAACACCTGGAGGCACTGCAGAACGACGCCAAGGACAAAGCGACAGGTAACTATACGTACTTCTTCATATTTTATCACGTAACAAAGTTCTACCTTCTTCTCAATGACAGCGTGGTTGATTGTCATCTTCTATTTGGTAAACATTTTCTACTAATAATGTCATGGATGCTCCTGCAAAATTGCTGAACCAGCTTTGAAGCTTGTTTGAACAATTTGTCTTCGACTCTTTGGTCACACTCCGATTTTTAGCGAATATAATTTGTACTAAAATTTACAACAGTTACAAAGTTCTAAATTCCCAAAGATCTTCTGAGGTCTTACGATTCAAAAATTTCAAAGACCAAAAGTTCGAAGACCCATTATTAACAATCTACCCGTTTATCCTACGACAGTGCATCAGTACAGTGCATGTCAGACCAGAAGGGTTAATAACATGTTAGCGTATCACGTCTCGCTACACGCGTCCACTTTCACTGTGGCAAATCAGCGTGTCAGTCCTCGTTAGACATGTGATACAAATCCCCCGAACAACGTGTTAATTATAACCAATTGAATAAAGTATAGTTTACACGTCGCGAGACGTCCTGTCACAGAGTACTAAAAAGCAGCTGCAGTTATTCAAAGCGAAAGACATTTCTTGCTTTACGTATATTTTTGGCAGGAATCTTACTAATGTTGCAGCCGTCAGAAAAGTAGATTTGTTCCTAGAATTGAATGCCTAAGATCAATAATGATTTTAACGAGGAAAATTTTTGTAGGCAGCAGCTACGAGCCACCATTGACGAATGTGTTCACGATGCAATGGTTCCTTACCCTCTTCTGTCATTGCTTACCTCAAGAAGCAGTGCTGCGTGTGTGGGACCTGATATTCCTCGAGGGTGACGAAATACTGCTGAGAACGGCGTTGACCATCTGGGAAGGATTGTCCGAGTAAGTGGAACTGAAAGATTCATGCTTTAATGCGACTACACTGAATCACTGTGTAACGTCATTCTCTTTTCGCAGTCGTATCATGGCCGTGACATCAGCCGATGAATTTTATAGTATAATGGGAGTTCTCACGAGGGAGATGCTCGAGTTCACGGACACGAATAATCTCATAAAGGTTCGTTTAAGCCTTTCATGAAAATTCATGCCGTTTGTGTCTCTGCGAACTACCTTGACGGTTGTACATTTTAAACTGTCGTTTGCACGTTGTTCGTACAGAATATTGTTAGTATGGGGCCTTTGCATGGTGTAACGGGACTTAGAGAGAAACACAGGTACAATATCACTCCGTGGGCAAGAAAACTAAGCGACGACGATGACAGCGACACAGAGGAAGATGAAAGGCTGGCTGTGGCTGCCGCGATGTTCAGCATGGCGCAGCGTTTGAAGAAAGGTAAACATTCAAGACCGTGTATATCAGGGCGGTTCAAGTGCCATAAATAAGAAACAAAATTTCGTGGATGCTTGCGGACTTTATTGCTTCTTTTGACGAGCGAATTCACAAATTTGTCAACATCTGTACCGATGTGTAACGGCGGTGAAATCATGAAGATTATGCAGGAAAGGCTAACGATTATATACTTTTTCTAGGAATCGTTGCATGTAGTATAATTACTATAATGAACAGTAATGTGTGGAACAAGTTTAAGACTTATCTTGCTGATTTAAAACTTTCTAGTTTCATACCTATTATTTTCTATATTTTTGTAACATTAAGGGTTTTTTCTATAACGTTAAAGGTTCAAGCACCTAAGACAAAATTCCGTTGAAATCTCGTATAAGACATTTTCTCGTCGAAACGAACAAAAAATTCCATCAAGACGTTCGAATTTTTTTGAACCGTCCTGGTGTATGTTTAAACGATGTAATAATTTGATCGATACGTAATTGGTTGTTCTTTTTCACGTTGTGAAACCCGTTAGTAGATCGTATACCGCAAACGATTGGGGCGCTGCAGGCAATGGCACCCAGCAGCGATCGAGAACGTCTCGCTTTGGATATTAGCACTTTGAAACAGCAGTACGCCAAGTTACAAGAACGCCAGCGACAGGCGCACATTATACTTTCCGGTAATTGCTGATTCTAATCGCTAATTTAGTTTTATACACGTTCAGATTTCAATATACCAAACCGACCCTTTTGTCAGCTTATATGCTTGCATTTTAATAACAGGCATTTACGCGATGATATTATGCAAACATTTAAGCTTATTGCCCGCTTTAAGTGTCCGGAGGTGTAGAATAAGAGTTATTGCAATGACGTACGCTCGTTGCAAATTCAACGGGAAGAAGAATGCATACGTTTTTTCTTGACGCAGCTGCATGTGCAAGGCAGACCATGGTACCACCTCCTACTTCTCAGGCCATGAATCATCTTTTAGTGGGCAAAAGTGCGCTTGTGAGTGGGAAGAATCGACCCTTGAGTCTACCTTCTGGTACTGCATCGACCAAGACGAGACCTACGACTCTAAATCAGAATCGAAGGGACAGACAAGGCGTCACTCTTCATTGGAAAGACACCAAGAAACTGAAACAGAAATCTTCCAACTCCTCAGGTATAGGTTGCGTTGTTCAAATCTTCGCGGAGTACAATATCAACTTTTCTTTATAAAGATATAAAACATATTTCTATTATCAGCATCGGTATTGTTCAATTATCATTTGATTAAACATAAAATATAAGTAATAGATATGAAAGTTTGTTGATCACATACATGGTTTTCTTTCGTATTTACTTTCAAACAATTCACTTGTACAATTATCTGCCCGTTGAGATGCTTTTTTAGAATTATACTTGAAAATTAATATTTTACTATTTCGTATGTGTTTCATCGATCGAGGATAAAGTATCGTCGGTCGATAATGTAGAAATTCATAACGAAGAAGCTTTTGTTGACCGGCATTACCGGCAATTAGTATGAAACTGTTTTACCCACAGCAAGAAAGAACGATACCATCTCAATCTTACTTATCTCATGTTGGAAACGTTGCACACAATTTCAAATAATTTTATCTATATAAAATCTGCATATGGAAGAATATTATCTACATATGGAAGGATTTATATGAATTGCAATACTTGTCAAAATATTTATATGCATTCAACTTGTAGATGTAGCAGAGGGCCACACAGCATCATACCAAGCCTCAGAAGAGCTGACATCTCCAAAACGAAACAACGCTGACAGCGACAGTGACAGCACATCCACCGAATTATGCGACGAGCCAGATCGGCTGAGCGACGTCGACAGCGAGGATCTTACGTCAGCTTCCGAGTCGTACGTTATAGCAGCTGACGAGGATAAAAGCAGTCGAGCGGATGGTTCACCGGTTCACGAAAAGGTCGACCGATTACCCGAAGAAAAGGATGGCTCGAATGATGTGGAGAGTTCAAAGGACTTGGAGGCTTCGGAAGAAAGTACCATGTCGATCGCGAAGATTACCGATCAGATCAGACGATTGTCGGCGGAGGATGACAATAATTCAATGGTTCCTCAAAAGTTCAGCGCGCAGAGCAAAGCGTCGCCGGACGATTCATCGATAGCAGTATTGGAAACGGAGAAGCCGATATCTAATTTATCGGTGGAATACAATTCGGATAGCGTTGTTAGAAAATCGTTGGTTTTGGACGAATACGATTACTTGAACGTCGGTAGTAGCACGATTAGCACGAAAGACGACGAAGTATTGGTCCACGAGAGGCATCGACCTAAAGAGACCACGAAGGAACTCGATCTACCTCGAGACGAAATCGTCACGATCAAGAAGGATCAAGAAGACAAATCACCTACGTTCCCTCGACAGGACACCGCCGCGTTCTCCAGTTACGTGACATCGTTAGACACGAAATATGATAAAGTAGTTGACAAAACAACCGATGATCCGCAGACGGATAACGAGAATCGTTTCAAGACGTCTTTCGATTTTTCTACCAGAGTTCCTCTAGAAATAAAGTCGTACGATGGTTCGAAGACGGGTAGTTTGATTAGTGATTCAACTAAAATCGAGAGAACGCTGTACTGTAAAACGTACGTGGGTCACCTGCCCATTTCACCGGTGACGGTCGATCAGAAATTAAGCAAGCTGACACCGACCATACATGCAACCGGTATCAGCGGATTGACTTCTGAACCCTCAACGAATGCAGTGACAACGATGGACAAGTCGTTCACCGATAGACTCCAGACTCAAACAAAAGTTTACTCGGACTTGCTGAAGAGTCCTAAGACACCGGACAGTAACAAGTCGTTCAGCTCGGGCGAAACTATGGGACCAGACTCGAGACCTTCCAGCTTAACGGTCAGCCCGAGGTCTCCGGTCAGGTCAGACTCTCGAGACTTCTCGATGGACAAGTCATTGTGTTCGTCTGTCAGTTCCGACTCGAAGACGTTGGTTCGTTCGATAGACTCGGATGTCACGAAGACGGACACGAAGAAGGGCTACGAGGTGTCCGGTTCGACGACCCCCATCAGCACCGACTCGTTGAAGAACAAGTCGGAGAGCAGTCCGAAGTTGGTGGTAAGCAGTTCCAGCGATTCGTGCAGCCCTGGTAAAATAAAGTCTTCCGAGAGGTCGTTCAGTTCGGACCTTCAATCGCCAATAAGTGCCAACTCCATAAAATATACCTCGAATTTCACTAGACGGGGCCAAGACGACGTTTCGGGCTCGTCGATGGATCTCAGCAGTGCCACTTCGCCGTTCTATCCGATATCGAATCCGAACCAGAAGACTCCGACGTCACCGTACAGCGGATCCAGACGAAGGTCCAGCTTAGACAGCACGGAAACCTCGCCTGAACAGAAATCGACCAGCTCGAAGGAGTCGAACAAGTACCTGGGTTATCAGAGCAAGTACGATTCGTTGAAGTCGTCTGATGTCAAATCTTCTGATATCATCGATAGCGTGCCTAGGAAGAGCGAGAGCTTCGTGAGGTCAGAGTTTAACGCGAAGAAGGACTCTACAACGAACTTGGTCAAAGACGGTGCTGATGATGTCAACTTCTATCAATCGGGCAGCAGCGACTATTTTCGCAAGGATAAGGACTTTCTAGATGACGGAGGAGATGATCCTCTGTCAGAGAAGGACGTGGTACCATCCTTGCCTAAGGAGAAACTGGACAAGCATTATATGAACTACCGATACAGAGACCGGTCGAAGTTGCTGGAGAGAAGTTCCAGTAGTCTGGACAGCAGGAGGTACGCGGATATGAAATCGTCTGCGTCCACGGATGAGTTCAGTACGTCGATGGTAAAGAAGAGATCCAGCGACATCTTGGAAGATATCAAACATCTGGAAGCCAAGGCCAACGAAGGATCCTCGGACAGCGGAATGCTAACGAAGAAGAGTAGTTATATTTGGGAGGATCTGAAGAGCCTGGAGGCTAGGAGGCAGGATACTTTCAGTAACTCAGCGAGCAACTTCTCCAAAAGACGTCTGGAGATACCGGATATAAACGTTACCGGTGAAGGCAGGAAATCGTATGTTATTCACCCGAAAATCAATATCGATGAGAACAGTGACAGCATATTGAAAACCGTGGCGTGTAGCAAAGATAACGGCGATGCCGATGACGGTAGAGAATCGAAGTTAGGCGTGTGGACGAAGGTGAAACCTCGAAAGAAGAGCGACAACGGACGTAGGAACAGTGATCGAGCTTTGAAGATCATTCAGGAGAATTCCGCGATACTTCAAAAGATTCTCGCTTGTCAGGCGAAGAAACGTTTGCCGGACCTCGAAGAGATATCCAAAGAGATCACTATTAGCCCCATCAATGAGGAAATCTCGAAGATATTTAGCCCGATACTGGAGAAAATGGGATTGAACGAGCACGAGATAAACGAGGAGTTAGCGAGGATCAATTTCAAGGATTTCGACAATATGACGGCGACCAGTGTGTCGGAGTTCGACGCGAAAATTAACGAAGAGCTGTCAAAACTTTCGCTGATCGATGAAACTGAACAAATAGATCATTTCGACGTGGACGAGGTGATATCTCACGATTACTTGGACACTAGAGAAGCTCTGATAGATCGCAAGATAAACGAGGAACTGTCGAAACTGTTGGCGAATTACGAACAGCATTCCCCAGTCAGTATGGTGACCCTAGACAAGGGACCGTCCAGCCAGAACGTCAGCGAAATCGAGGGACTTGAACTATCCAGCATCTCCACGAACGTGTTCTCCTACAAATCATCCAACGATTCCATCGAAACCAGAAGCGACATGGGATCCGCGCAAGAACCATCCATCCCCGTTGACAAATTTCCCACGTATACGGAGAACGTATTGCCGTACACGGCGGTTTCCAAATACCGAGTAGACGATTCGTCACCGAAGAGCGACATAGACATCTACAGGGAGCTAGAGAAACTCGACAAAATCTCTTCTGCTCAAGTGTTACCCGACCCGATCCTGGAGCTCCCTCAGAAAGAATTCTCCTCCATTCCATACGTCCCTGACACGTCACCGTTCAAAGACGTGTCACCGTTAAGGTACACCGCCAAGCCGGTTCAGTACGACACGTCACCCTTGAAGACTTCTTACGATCCCTACAAAAGCTTCGACTTCAAACCCAAACTGTCACCTAAACACACACCCAGCAATCCGTTCGTGGCAACGACTTTTGAGAAAACCGTGATGGACCCCGCGTACGAGTACATCAACCACAAACCAGAAATCTCGATCAACACATACGACCTGCATTTAAAGAGTCCTATGATGACGAAGGAGTCGTTGGAGTTCCGAGTGAGATACGACGAGCAACCGGTCCGAGACGTCAGCACGGATTATATGTCCCTTCAAACCGACAGTAGACCCATCATCGGCTCGAATAAGTCGTCTCCATACTTCAGCAACGGCAACGGCGAACCGTTGACTCCCACCAAGTATATCACCAAGGAGGACAGGTGTTTGGAGAGCGGCGGCACATCTTTCTTGGATTCTTCGGAGATCCTCCGTCGCAAGTACGATCAACTGTCTCCCAAGGAGTATTCCCACGGGAAGAGCGCGGAATACGACAAACACGCGAGCACGTTGTCCCCCATAGAGGCCGAAACGTACATGGGGTCGTATTTGGCGAACAGACACCGGGAACTCTTTCCTAGCGCCATCAATCACTATGCCTCGAAACTCTCGCCCGGTTTCGATGAATCGAAACGTCCCGTCTCTCATCCGGAGTTTCCGGGTAAAATAAACGTCGGGAAATACGCGGACATGCCCGACAGGACTGGATCGAGCAATTATAAAAAATCTTCTCTGAGTCTGGGTAACATAGGGCACTCGAGTAAAAAGGTGGAGGACAATTACGAGTATGTGATCAGCCCGAAGTCCCAGTTCAATCCTTTCCCTGTCAGAAACACCACCAGGAAGCCGAAGGAACTCACGTTGAAATTGGGTCTTTATTCACCGAAGGGCACAGATTTGGGACAGTTGAAGAGATCATAGTGCAAGAAGGTAACGTTTTCGTTTCTTTGGTTTCCGTGTCGTATCGACGATTGCGTCGATGAAAATGAATGGATTTTCTGTACAATTGTGCGAAGTGTGGTCGTCAGAGTGACCATGTAATGAAAAGTGGGCCTAAATCGTTGTTTCTCGTTCGTGGAGTCTGATGTTGCCAATCGTCGAAGTTAATGTTACCGGTCGTGTGGTGTTATAAGTTAGAGCATAAGTGCCGATGATGAAAACCTCGAAGTCTACTTTCGTCGGACGCGAGTATCCGAGGAAAAGAAATTTTAAAGAACGTGTATCGTTCTTCTAGATTTAAGGAAACGTTATATCGCGACGAACGCAATTTTCACGATTTATCTTCCTCTCTCCTAATCGTTAGCGACTTAAAGTCCGTTTTTCTCCGAGTCTTTATAGTCTACGAACGTTGACTAATTACCAGAACGTTTTCCTTTCCTTTTTTTTATGAATTCTGCTCGACGAGAACGCGCCCCGTCGTGAGACGAGAGAAAAAGCTTGCGGAACAGCGTGGAAATCCTCGACTAAACGATTTCTAACGCGATGCCTTCAATCTCCCTCCAATCACGCAGGAAATCTGGTTATCGCGGCTCGATCGTTCGGTAAATTGCTGTAAGTAGCTCGGAAATCGCACGAAGCTTCGTGAAAAAGAAACGTTGAAACGAAATGCCTTCCATTCCCTCAAACTCGGTTCCCATTTGCGCGAAGCGATCTCGCGTGCGATCGTAAATCGCGGGATCGATCGCGGAAACCGTGCTAACGCGAAATTTCCTTCGAACACAGATACATTATATAGAATAGTGATAGGCAACTGTGCCCGCGAGAGAGCTTCGACGTGCAAGTGGCACCCAGATGGTCGGTAGATTCACCAATTTAAAAATTTGAAAATTTTTATATTTTTACAACCCCAATTTCTATATCCTTGAATTTTTGAACCTTCAAATAAATTTTTACATCCCTCAATTTCTATATCCTCGAATCGATCAATTTTTATATCCCTCAATTTCTATAACCCCGAATTTCTGAATTTCCAGAAGTTCTGAATTTTCAAATTTCCCAATTTCCACATCCCTCAAATGTCTGCCTAACTTTCTAAATTTCTGCATCTCTCAAATGTCTAAATTTTTAAACGTCTAAATTTCTAAATTTCCAAACCTTCAAATTTTTAAATATCTATTTCCATCGCAGCCATGCACACCGTTGCCCTCTCGGGCGCTCGCTTGATGTGCCCGTCACCGACATAGCGCCACAGAAATTGTATAAAATTATCGAACCTGTTACAGCAGCTAACAGATAGAGCTTAATTTGTCCGTATTTTTGCGCAAACTTTCTCGTGCACAGGTGCAACAACAAAGTGTCACAAGCAAGCTGTACACACGAAAGGGGCAAGTGATGTTGAAACAAACTGTATATAACTACATAGTTGTTAATTGTATATTATTAAAAAGGAGAACAGAGAAAAATGGTGAGGATTGGAGCTTCGAAGTTGCTCGAGTCGATCTTTTTATATAAAATAAAAGTAGTATTTTTAGATGTTTCTAATATGAGATAATCCTTGTATTGTCGCCGCCAATGAACGTTCGAGCTTAGCCACGCTATGCTTATTCCTGATTACACTGACGAGTGTAGTGAGTTTTTGTGTATAGGGAAAATGGCGATGTTTGTGAGGGTAACTGAACATTCGCGTGTAAACGTTTACCCGGGAAAGTCGTATTGTTTGTCGAATACGAAAATGCCCCGTGCGAGCTAATTAACTCTAGAGTAAAAGCAAGCTAATTAACTAAGTATTAACTACCTAACTGCGTAGTAACTCTCGATTATTAACATTCTCACTGCGTGCGGTATTTGTTACGATTTTGTTGAAGTTACGATATTAATACTGTTATTAATGTTAATATTATCACTTATTATTTTACTCGATCGAAGGTTTATAGACCTTGCAATTACTCTGCAGCGAAAATATTGGAACCTTTTACGTCGCCATTTTGTCTAGGATAACGTACTATGCTCGACCGTGTATCATTCTTCTGTAGTTCTCATTTTTCATCACCGATTCGATTCAGAATTGATCTTTAACACGTTGACTGTGTATAGGTTATGGTGCAGGTTATTCAAAATACAGATAGTTTTTCATTTCTGTATAATCGATTTAATGTAGCTTTTAAAAGTTTCTTTCGATTTTGTTCTTCAATTTGAACGAATCTGAAGTGCCAATTGTCGGTGACCATGGTCAATGTGTTAAGAGTCATTCACCATTTTAAAGAAATGACACGTTCATTGCTTTGCAGTATTCTAATTAAGAGGATTTGCATGTTCTCTACGATACAAGCTGGTAGAATTTTTGATACCAAATATTACTTTGTCAATTTGAAATTGTTAATTTCAGAAATATTAATTGCGGAATATTATTAATATTCAGCGTTCATAACGAATGCAAAATTGAACTAAACGGCAGAAGACCAGGAACTTCTTTATTGAAATAACGAATTAGGTCAAAAGTTCAGACTGCTTTTCATACCGACAATTTACTCAAAATACTGTCTTAAAATGTTATGAAAGAAATACTCTTTTCTTTTACGGTTTGAAATTGAAAAATTTCTGCAAATTTACATGCATTACGATAGAGTTATAAATTGAGTTTTTAATGAACACTTTTAGTTTTAGAACATGAGTGACACTTTTGAACCATCCCTCGGACAAACAACAAAGAAACGTAAAAGCGTACAGAGATAACCCGTGATTTATTTTTATCGGCTTGCATAGCGGTATAGATGTTGATCTGTCAATCATTACGTCCAATTTAATCACCGTTGGCAGGTAGACCCGTCAATTCGCAACTCGATGCGTGTAGATTTTTATACGCACCATTTTAAGCTCGAGGTATAAACTAGTCCGTTGATTTCGTAGAAAGCGAGGATCGATAAAAAAGAAAATTTCGATGTAGCTGCGTTAATGTGCCTCCAACGATCATCTCGCGAAAATTCGACTAAATCGTCGATACAAGAATCCAAGTAGAAATCCGCGCAAACATAGATAAGGCAATTCGTGCGGTCGTATACAGTCGCCATTTTCTCTGTCGAATTATTTTTCAAGAACCACGCTTCCAGAGGACATTTTTTGCTCGTCTTCGTTTATTCGCGAGAAAATTATCAAATTAATATATTTAACATTTGGATCACGATATGCAACGCTTCAACTGCAATTTTACGCTTGATTAACAAAATCGTATTAGCAAGACAGATTATGTCGATCGATGAAATTTTCAGTGACATTTACGACGTTTCAGTGATATTAATTCTTTCAATTTTGTAGCCATAATTGATTATATTAAATTTGTCGTAATTGTTTTCATTTGTTTTATGAGTCTATTCGCACATGTTGAATTATTTCGCAAATTTAACTAAAGTTTTTTCAAATTAATTCTAAAAAATATTGTCCCCGACGTTTGACTGCGCAGACCATTAAAGTGTTAATATCGTCCATTTATTCAATTGTATTAAAGTATTTAAAGCATTGTATTCAAGATTTTATTATCGATTAAATGAAAAGCTGGCCAATAATATTGACAAAGATGGTGTTGAAAATGTCATTGAAAATTTGGTTGATCGAAGACAGATTTAGCGGAACATTTAGTTGGCGAACGAAGACGAAGTCGAAGAAGAATTAATTAACTAGCGGACAACTTCAGTGAACCGAATCGGTAGAGGTTCGAAAGCCTGTGAGGAATAGAAAGTATTCGTAAAAAGGTGCTTTAACAAGGCATTGGCGCGTTAAAAGATGAAACTATCTAGTCGTAGGTAGTCGATAAGCAGTAGTAATTAATCGTTCGTCGTGTCTCGCGAATGATCGTTTTCGAAGGATGAGTCGACATCGATTAAACGTTTTTCATTTTCGTGTGTGATTTCGGAGCGGTTTGGTTAACTTTTGAATGACGATGGCCTGTTGCGAATTAGAATATTTGAAATTTGGCATATTTGGTAATTTGGGAATTTGGGAATTTGGGAGGTTCATAATTTAGGAATTTGATAATTTGGTAATATGGTAATTTGGTAATTTGGTAATTTGGTAATTTGGTAATTTGGTAATTTGGTAATTTGGTAATTTGGGAATTTGGGAATTTGGGAATTTGATAATTTGAGAGCTTGACAATTTGGGAATTTGATAATTTGGGAGCTTGACAATTTGGGAATTTGATAATTTGGGAGCTTGATGATTTGGGAATTTAATAATTTGGGAGCTTGATGATTTGGGAATTTAATAATTTGGGAATTTGGGAATTTTGCAATTTGACAATTTGGAAGCTTGATAATTTAGTAATTTGACAATTTGGAAGCTTCACAATTTGGGAATTTGGAAACTTAGTGATTTGGTAAATTAGGAATTTGAGAACTTGGGAATCGAGAAACATAAGGATTTCAGAACTTAAAAGTTTGGTAACTTGGGAATTTGAAAATTTAGTATTAGAGAGAATTTGAGAATTTGTCAATTTAAAAATTGAGAAATTTAGAAATTTATAGAGTTGAATAAGGAATTTGAGAATTTAGAGATTTTACTATTTGAAAATTTAGAGAAGTACAAATAGTACAATTTAGAATTTGATAATTTAGAAAATCAAAAGTTGAAAAGTTAAAAATTTATAAAATCGAATATTAAGTCCTATATGAATCCTATAGAATCTGAAAATAATAATCTGAGATCTCTAAACTGTAAATTGCATATTGTATCAGCGAGCCTCCGTCAATCAAACGTTAATAAAACCGACTTAAATTCATTCTCTTCTCAACAAGACCCTACTCGTTTCTCGTAAGATAACATTCCTGAATTTACCACAAAACCGCAATACAGAAACATACTGTTTTGACTCAAACTCTGAAAGAGGGAAGGTTGATTTAGTTAGAAGGAAGGAAGAATGTATTCAACGTATGCCCGCCTTCGTGTGACGATTGTTGCGAACGTCGATATGACGAGAGTACACGGATCCTACAAGAGAAATCATTTATAAAGAAACGTTATATTTACAAAAGGTGTGTATGAAGTTGTTACGTGACGTTTGTGAGAATTGTTGTAAATATCCGTGGATACGAGTCATGCCAGATATAAGACTGTATATTTGAAGAGCATAGAGATATAAGTCGTTATAAATAAATAAACGGAATAAATATATTGAGAGAGAGAGAAAATTGAACTGTTTTTTTCAGACTTGTTTCACCGGTTATGTTTTTATCAAACAGTCCTGCATATTGTATTGTAACAAAAATTATTCCGTCGTTCCATATTTCTTTGCATGTAAGATACATTTTATATTTAACTCGTCTCCATTTTCACTTCAGAAACCAATATATTCTTAACCTGGTGCTTCAAAAATACATTTTATTGAATTTCTTTGTATTCATAGTCATACGTGACACGTATCGTGAGGTCATTAGATATGAAATTATAAATGAAACGCGAACTTTACTCCTTTGAAAAGAAGTCACTTATCTTTTATTGAGGTACTAATATTATCTATACCGTATTATCTGAGGTCTTTACTGGTGGTGTCTATTTTGAAATACATTAGGTAGAAGTTTATTATTCGCTTTATCGGTTGCGTTAGATTAGGTTAAGTTTCATCTTACACTAATCCTGTGGGGGAAAAATATTGAAGACTTTTGTCGTATAATATTTAATATGTATTTAATAATTAACATATATAATTTCAATATTTAATTCGTCTTACTCAATGTATGTTTAAAAATAAATTTTTACTGAGTAAAATCTATGTAGGGATGTAGACTACCTAATGAAATGTAACATATGTTCTGAAACACCCTGTATGTCCATAAGGCAACAAAGGAAGCAGACGGCCATTTATTTAGAGAGGTGAGGGCAGGTGTATAACCCTGGACACCTTTTGATTGGTAAACATGCATATTTTATCCTGTCT